TTGGGTGCTCCACTGACTGAACCACCCAGGTGCTCCTATAATGAACATTTTAAATAAAACATAAAATAATCCCTATAAACAGTAAAATCTGAGAATCCATTTTTAGGAAATTTATTTCATAACTTTGAAGTACTAGAAATATACTAAACATGTACTAAACTTAAAGTGCATTTTACTTTGAGTAAAAATAGGGTCACCTGCTTCAGAACTTACTGTTCGTTCTTTAAGGCTTTATTTACTTCCCTGTTCACGTCTCTTGGTTATGTGGATGGCACCGTGGCCGAGCAGGATTGGGAGGTGTGGGAGGGAGTGCAGTCCATATAAAAGGGGCAAATGAAATAAAATATGGACTTCTTTTTAAGTCTCCAGATTTTATATAAATACAAAGGTATGATAACTTCAGTCTTTCAAAGTCACTAATGGTTATTCGATATTAGATAGTAATAATACACACTAAGTTATTAAAAAAAACCCCATTCTGTTCTTTTGAGATTTAATTTTTACTTTTCCAGTTTGGATGTCTATTTAAAGATGGATCCGAACACAGTTCAAACATACAGGATATTTGGGTGCAGCGGCCTCTTGAATCACACCTAGAAATCCAAGAAAAGCGAATTTCTGAGAGTTTTGTTTTTAACAGACAGTCAGCACCATCTAGTGGATACAAATAGCCTCTTTTCTTGAATTTAGTCCAGTGAGGAGGTGAAGAGAGCAGGCTTTTGGAACTGGCTTGGAAACTCAGTACCAGTCTTAGTTTCTGAGTGACCTCAGAAAAATTACTTAACCTGTCTGTGCTCTGCTTCTCAACTATAAATCTGCATAATAATAGTGCCACCTCATAGGATGTTATGAAGTGAGATGATACATCTGAGGCATGTCCTAAATGCTCAGTAAATGTTATTTTTAAATAACACTGAGCCATAAACTCACAGGATATGGGAGCTGTTCAGCGGCACACGCTTTTAACTGCCTTCCAAAAGAAATGGCTATTGAGTCTAGTTTATAGAATGTATGATAGGAGGTTTAATGAGGTTCCACTCCCAAGTGTGCCGTCACATTTTGCTGAACCTTATGGTAAGAAAAGGGAAATTGGGGCAACAAAGCTGGAATGGCAGCTGGGTCCCAGATGGAATACAATGCGGGCTCTCTCTCATTCATTCAAATCTGACTCCACTTAGCAGGAGAAGGTCAAGGGTAGAGAGAAATTGAAAACGGAAACCAACTTTGAAACCAACACTGCCCTAGGTCACCAACCTGTAATGAGACAGGGACATTTTAACTTAAAATATCTTGACTCTAGGAGAAATCTTCATGAATTATTGAAGGGCTTTCAATACTTTCTAGAACGTGTCTGTGCTTTTTGTTTGTTTTTTTTTTTTAGAAATGTTTTTTAAATTAAAAAAAAATTTAATGCTTATTTATTTCTGAGACAGAGCATGAGTGGGGGAGGAGCAGAGAGAGAGAGGGAGACACAGAATCCGAAGCAGGCTCCTGGCTCTGAGCTGTCAGCACAGAGCCCGATGTGGGGCTCGAACTCATGAACTGAGAGATCATGACCTGGAGCTGAAGTCGGACGCTCAGCCGACTGAGCCACCCAGGCGCCCCTGTCTGCTTTTTGAACACAACACTTCAGAAAACAGCACAGGGTGCTCTCTGACGTATCTGAATATGAACCGTTTTGAGGGCGTCACCTGCAATAGCTGACAGAAGTCAGGAAATTAACAACAAAGACACAGACACGACATATACAATTTGTTAAAATTTGCCCTCAAGGCGCATATAGCCTCTCTGCAGTTCACAGGTAATAGCAGGAGGTAAATACAGAAAGTGACAATGACAGAAAATGAGATGAGTTTCCTGCGAAATGAAGTCAGTGGGGACTTACTTGTAATGGTAAAGTTACAGTGAAGAAACACTGTTTCTATTGAGCCTGAGTTTTCTTTTCACTTGCTTCTTAGGTATCTCCTGTTGTATATATTTTAAAAGCAAAAGTTAAAAAAAAAAAAAAAGGCAGACGGGTCATAGCCTTGATTTTTCTTAAGTTGATTTTCTCTCCCCACATCCCCAAGAAATCTGAAATGTGTTATTCTCTTAAAGAGCACCATTAGTCACCAAAAATACAAATGGAAAGAATGGCCTTTATTCACAGAATATTACAATTGTGCAGACACTTGGAGTTTGTTTAGTGTCCAGCTACTCTAAGAGTAGCCAGTGGATAAGAAGCATTGGCATCACATGGGAGCCTGTTAGAATCTTGGGTCCCACCTGACACATCGAATCAGCATTTAACAAGAGCCTCAGTTGATTTATCTGCACGTTAAAGTTTGAGAAGCCCTAGAATTTTAGGTTCATTTGCTCTCAGATACAGCCCCACAATCAGTATTTTATGAAATCTCCTCAGGTGATTCGAATGCAGTAGAGTTAAGAATGGTAAAACTAGTCCCCATTTGGGGCACCTGGGTGGCTCAGTTGGTTAAGCATCCAGCTGGCTCAGGTCATGATCTCGAGGTGCGTGAGTTCAAGCCCTGAGTCCGGCTCTGTGCTGACAGCTCACAGTCTGGAGTTTGGTTCAGATTCTGTATCTCCTTCTCTCTCTGCCCCTCCCCCACTGGCACTCAGTCTCTCTCTTTCTCTCTCTCTCTCTCAAAAAAAAAAGCATACAAAAAATTTAAAGCAACAGAAAAACTAGTCCACATTTCTCAAATGAGGAAATTATGGCCCACGAAAGGTTAACAGATTAACCCAAGATAACCCAGCTATTTAGTATCAGAATACAAATGATGTCATCTCTCCTCTTTATATAAAAAAACAACAAACGAACAAAACTAAACAGAGTCAAGGGAACAGAGGATAGGGAATGTGGAGCTGGGGATTATTATTTTATATAGGGTGGTCAGGAAAGAACTGCCTGAGGAAGCAGGCTCTATTCCTGAGGGAATAGAGGAAGTGAGCCATGTGGATAGCTGGGCAACTGTATTCCTGGCAGAGGAAGCAGAGGGCTGGAGTGTGTTTGAGTGTGTGTGTGCGCATGCACGTGGTGGGGGTTGGGGGAGTGGTGGGAGGTTATTCCATCTTGGAGGAACAACAACAAAAAAATAGTGTTCCAAATTCCCAACATATTGATCTTTGGGATGCAGAAACAAGAAATCAAAATTTCCAGCAATTCTCAAAGCCTTAAGTTATTCTTAAAATATTTTCAACCTTCTTCATATTCTTGTTATCATGCTATCTGAATCATTTTTATAAAAGTGTTTATAAGTGGCTACAAGAACTGTAGCCTATAGCAAATATTCAAATACTGGAGAACACAGAGAACATGATTGGGTACCATTTGAATAACCTAACATGCAAGTCTTCAAGTGAGGTTAACAGCACTTGGCAGAATCATAGGGTGGGAATTGCCAATTGAAGGACTCATTTTTGAGTCAAAACTTGCTATTTCTTGGAACACAATTCATAGAATTTGTAAAAAATATACCATGAATATCAACTAATTAATATTTATTTTATTTGCAAGAATGACTCAGCAGCAGACAGGGCCGGGAACACACGTGTGGAAAATGGCACCAGTTCCACGCAAGACTGACATAGCAGATTGTGACACGCTCCAATCCAGGTTCCGAGAATGTTGACCTTAACTTCTGACACACTGCTCGCAGTTCCTGCTTTTGGTTTCACCTTGACATCAGTGGATTTCTTCAGCAACATTTCTATGTTGATTGATAAACTTTAATTTTCATAGGAGAATTAGAATATACTTCTTCTAATTTCTCAACTTTTTTTTTTTAATTTGGAAAAACATACACATTTGCTGAAAAAAGCTGGGAAGAAATTCCTGCGCAGAAACACTAACAAGGACAGTGACGCTAGAGCTAAGCTTACCAGGGAGAGGATGGTAGGACTGGAAGTTTGAGAGAAAACATAGAGCCTGGTCATTTAGGACCTGTGGGCATTGTAAAGACTGCATGAAGCAGAGGAGCCACAGAGTGTCCTGAGCGGAGGAGTAACATGGTCTGCCTTTGGATTTGAAAGCATCATTCAGGCTGTGGTTTGAAAGTAGTAGAGGCAAGGAAAGTTAGGAAGAAGGTTGTTGCAAAAATCTAGGTGAGAGGTGATGGCAGTATGGACCAGTATGGAAGCACAGGAGGTGGTGAGCAGTAGTTAGACTCTGGATATATTTTAGATGTAAAGCTGGTAGGGTTTATAACAAATCGATTGTAGCATCAATCAGTGGATGGAGGAATAGAAACTGAGGATGACTTCAAGGTGTTTTGGTCTGAGCCTGGCAGGAAGGAGTTACCATTTACTGAGATAGATAAGAGAGTGGAGTGGTAGTGGGTGTGATCGTGGAGAGGTTTGTTTTTTGACATGTTACGTTTGAGATGCTTCTTACATCCAAGTGGAGATGTCATATAGTCAGTTAGATAAACGTGCGGAGTTCAGGGGAGAAGTCCGGATTGGAGATAGAAACGCAGGATTTAGTACTATATAGATGGCATTTACCGCCAGGTTTTAAACCCAGCACTGCCCTAGATTGTAGCTGTGGTTCCCTGACCAACTCACTTTACCTTTGTCTATTTGCTTCACTGAAAAACACTCAAAGAATACACATGCTACCTACCTAAAGTTAACAAGGCTGTGTATGGGGAAATGCCTTGTAAACTGTAAAGTGCTGTCCATACTAGAAAGCAGAAATTTGATGGTGCTGGGGATGAAGAAAATCAGTTTGGGAACCCATGGAAATAGTCTTTATGCGCCGAAGATGAGAGAATCCCCCCCCCCCAAAAGAAAGTGCAAATAAAAATCATTACTAGTTTGGACTGTAGCCCAACTTTGCAAAACTAGTATTTTTTATTTACATGAAATCCAAAATTTAGCAAGAACTTCACGTAATCTTTTTGGGTTGCACAACAATCTTGTGAGGAATTACTGTCATTCCCATTTTACAGAGGAGGAAACTGAGCTCAGGGAGGATGCCAGACCTACAGAGCATCATACTAATGGTAGACAGCCACATAAGCATCCAGACATCCTCCTTCCGAGTTCAAAGTGAATACGAACGATCCACTCCCCAGCCACACTGTCCTCGGATAGGCGGAGGAAACAGCAAGACTGCCCCAGCTCCCGGGACTCCCCTCAGCTTTCCTCGCCGCCCTTGGCCCCCCCCAACATCTCATTCCCGCATGGTACAGCCCTTTTCTCTTATCGCGATACCGGAAGCTTCGTGCTTCTGGTTGCCAGGGGAACAGCGTCTCTGGAGGCAGGAGGGCTTTGGACGCACAGCTCCTTCCCCTTCCAGAAAAGCTGTGGTGACGGGAAAGAACCCTCCCCTTTGGGGGACAGGGGGTGACGCTGTCAGCCGGTGCGCTTCTGCGCCCGTCAATGCTTTGCTGTCTGGTGACTGGCTCCCAGAGTTTCCGCCGCGAAGGTAAGGCACCGCACCTGTTAAGACACCACCTTTAACGCCGCGCGACTGGCGGAAGAGTGAGCGAGGCGGTGTCGTGTCAGGGACAGCCCCTGGGCTGTCAGGGCGAGGGGCAGGGCCAATGAGAGGGCGGGGCGGAGTCGTGTCCGGCTGCTGGGCCCGGAGACTGGCTGTTAGCGCGAGGGGGCAGGGCCAGCAGGGGGGCGGGCTCAGCCGGGCTGGGCGGGGCCTACGGGGCGACCCCACGGCGACCCAAGCATTTGCCTCCACGAAGACTGTGTCTCCAGGATTTCCTGGAGCCTGCTGCAAACTTTTCCTGACCTTAGGACCTCGTATCAAGGACTCCCCCTGTCCTGTGCCTTCTGTTCCTTAAGAGCTAAAAGTTATGGGGCACCTGGATGGCTCAGTCTGCTTAACGTCCAACTTTGACTCACGTCTTGATCTCAGGATCAGAAGTTCGAGCACCACATTGGGCTCTGTGCTGACAGCTCAGAGCCTGGAGCCTGCTTCAGATTCTATGTCTCTGTCTCTCTCTGCCCCTCCCCCTGCTCATGCTCTGTCTAAGAAATAAATAAACATTAAAAAAAATTAAACGTTATAATGAAAACCAATCACCAGTCATTTAAAATAGACCTCAAATAGCAAAGGATATACATAGGCATGCTACAGGGGAAGAAAAGGTGACCAGTAAACACTTGATTGAAGCCTTGTCTGGTAATTAAAGAAATGTAAATCAAATTCACAGATACCTTTGACACTTAGATTGACCCCAGGCCAGAATGGGGAAAGAGGAACTTTCATCATACCCTGTTGGTAGTAGTGTAATTTGGTACAGCCTTTTTGGTGGACAGTGTGGCAACCTACCAAAATTTGAAACACAAGAATTCTTTGACTCAGCATAGTTTACCTTCTGGGTATGTAAATGTAACTAAAGAAAGATTCGTACAAAGGGGTTAACTTAAAATTGTGTGTGTGCCATTTGTGTGTGTGTGTGTGTGTGTGTGTGTGTGTGTGTGTTGGGGAGGAGTAAGTAGGTAAAAAGGATAGGTTTGCGTATGCCTAAAAAAAAAAAAGTGAGACCCCCCCCTCACCTCCCTATCTATTCCAAGTGGTTCTTGGGGTGAGGAACATTTTGACTTCATTTTTTTTCATGTTTCTTTATTTGAGAGAGAGAGAGAAAGTGCGCGCATTCACGAGCAGGGGAGGGGCAGGGAGAGAGGGAGAGAGAGAATCCCAAGCAGGCTCTCCGCTGTCAGTGTGGAGTTCGATGAGGGGCTCCATCTCACACACTGTTGGGATCATGACCTGAACTCAAATCAGGAGTGGGTGGTTTAACTGACTGAGCCACGCAGGTGCCCAGGAAATTTTTGACTTTAAAAAGTTTTGTATTCTGGGGCGCTTGGGTGGCTCAGTCGGTTGTGTGCAAGACTTGTCTTCGGCTCAGGTCATGATCCCGTGGTTTGTGGGTTCAACCCTGCATCTGGCTCTGAGCTAACAGCGCAGAGCCTGCTTGGGATTCAGTTTCCCTCTCTTTCTGCCCCTCCCCTACTTGTTCTTTATCTCTTTCAAAAGAAATTAAAAAAAAAAACTTAAAAATAAGTTTTATATTCTTCTATATTATTTGACTTTTTCCTTCGCATGGGCAAGTCTTTCTTACATCATAATTGTATAAAGTAAAAAAAAAAAACCTAACGAAATAATTTTTAGACATTAAAATCATGAAAATAAGTATAATTCCACTTAAAGCCTGGCTATTTATTATTTCTAAACAGAGGAGGATTCATTTTCTTTCAATTCTTCCTTTCATCCAAAAGTAGCAAATTATGGCAGCCATGTGTCCCCATTTTGGTTTTAAATGATCCTTGGTGGTTGCATTTCTCACAAGCCTGTATGAAAAGGTTTAAATTAATCTTGTTTGAAATGAATGTTATAAAAAGTTGGTGTGTGGCAGTAGTGATTTGTTACAATTTAGAATCTGGTCATATATCAGCCCGTTAAAGGAATATCATGAAGTGAATCATATATATATTTTTTTAATTTTTTTAACGTTTATTTATTCTTGAGACAGAGAGAGACAGAGCATGAACAGGGGAGGGGCAGAGAGAGAGGGAGACACAGAATCTGAAGCAGGCTTCAGGCTCTGAGCTGTCAGCACAGAGCCCGACGCGGGGCTCGAACTCACTGACTGCGAGATCATGACCTGAGCTGAAGTCGGACGCTTAACTGACCGAGCCACCCAGGCGCCCCGAAGTGAATCATATTTTATTTTTGAAATATCTTTAATGCAGTAAGAAAATGCTCATCTTATGATGTTAAGTGAGAAACATGAGTCCAATTTTGGTGGAAACATATAGAGGAAAAATGGAAAAGAAATATGCTAATGATGTTAACTCAGAGTGGTGGATATTGGGTGATTTTTATTTATTTTTGAATACACTTTAATATGTTCTAGAAATTTTCCTACAATAAATAATTATGAATTCAAGATCTACTTAGTAGAGAATCTGAAAATACAGATAAGCCAAAGGTAAAATAAAAGACCAAGAACATCCATGAATCCGCGAATCCATAAGAACACACCTCTGTTCAGTCCTTGACTTGTGATCATCTATCAGGTCCTTTTCTGTATATTCCTTTAATTAGAGAATCGGACATCTCTCTCCTCTCTTTCCTTCCTTCCTGCCTCTTTCTTCCTTCCTTCTTCTTTCTTTCTTTCTTTCTTTCTTCCTCCGTTTCTCTTTCTTTCTTTCTTTCTTTCTTTCTTTCTTTCTTTCTTTCTTTCTTTCTTTCTTTCTTTCTTTC